TTTAATTTTAAATTTTACTTAATTTTATTTTGAATATTTGCGAATATAAGTTAATGTTAAATGTCAATAATACTTGATCGAGTGCTCTAAGAATGTGATGTCAACAAAATAAGATGTCACAGAAAATAGAAACGTCGCATGACGATGCGTATCCATTTATAACACCTTCAACGTTAGGAAGAATTTCCTATAATACCGTGTATAATAGAGATGAAATAATATTCAAGTAACAGATTAAAATGACGTACATTTAACGGACTGAAATAACGGCATCTTCGCTAAAATAATCCTATCATTTAGAATTTTGTTGTGTCAAACACTGATAACGCACAAAGTGTTCGAGCGTGCTTAATGCTTTGGTTGCCCTTTAACGGAAAGGTTTATTTAGGAGGGTCTGGTTGACACCAATAGTTACAGTCGATTTCTTCGTGGTTTAATTGTGGCTTTTTGCGAAAATACGATAAATTCGGTAGAGCAATTCTTCACTCGTAATTGACTTGATAAGTATAAATATCTTGTTGTCATTATGTTTTTTAAATTTCGATTTATCGAAAGATTTTCCAAGAAAATTTAAATATATTTGTTTATAGAAAATATTATAAATACTAGACAATATTAGAAAAATATCAAATATTAAAATATAAATTATAAATTATCAAGGAATTTTTAAAATAAAGTCCTACTGAACTCCGTACTTTTAGCAAGTACTTGTTACTTTTGGCAGATGCAAGTTTAATAGCAAGTTTAATTACTTATGAAAAAAAGTCGTAAATAATTTGCAATATTGATGAAGAAATTTGCGACTTTATGATTAAATAAAATATAGAAAATAAGCAAGAACATAATCTTGTTTCTGAGTATTATTATGGGTCAATTAACTTGTTTTATTTATTAATCAAATTCTTAATAAACGTATATAGAAAAAATAGAGCACACAGAAACATACAACATGAAAAATGTTTATCTTTGGGTACTTACCGTCCTTGTTCATGTTAGCTTCGAAACACTTAGCAAGACGACAAGCACGGCATTGATTCCTATGGGTCTTGTCAATCGGGCAGCGTCCTTTCTTGGCACCCTGGGCCTTGCAGATGTATTCTCGATTGCTGTGTATGCTTCGCTTGAAAAATCCCGAACAACCTGATAACATGAAAAAATTCGTATACAAAAATATGGTATATTATACATGCTGATCTCAAAACTTTACTATCGTTTAGCAATTTCAAATATTCAACAACACGTTCTACTTAAGCACGGTTTCTCCGTGCTTAAGTAAGCAAGTATAAAAAAATAAAATGTATATCTCTTTGAGAGCTTTTTTGTTAAAATTATGAAGAAAAGAAATTACATTTGGAGATATATTATTGTTCTTTATATAATTTTTGACAGTTTCAAGTTGATGTATCTTTTTGATTCATTTGACATATTAATTGATATTTACCGTCACAACTGTAGATGCCGTAGTGTTTTCCGGAACTACGGTCACCGCATACATCACACAGTATGTCAAGTAATCTGTCTCCTAAAACAAAACGGGAAATATTGTTATATTACTAATATTTCGTACAATTAACTTCTTGCAATCACATTTCTGAAAATAGTTAAAATCGCGAAAAGTGCTTTATAATCTTTTTACATGTATTGCGCAAGTTCTCGAAAACATAATGAATAATTATATTTAATAAAGATATACATATTTCATTAATTAATCGAATCATGAAAATTGATAAGATGTTATTTACATATAATTATATTTCACGAAATAAACATCTAGAAGATCGCATCTAATATAAACATAAGATTCCAATGATTTAAGAATTATTACAAGATTAAAATTATCAGATTTGTGTACATTTTTACATTACGTACGTATATTGTGATGAAATAATTATCAAGTAAGAGGAAAGCAACGTTAAAGAATTTTCGTGAAATCGTTTAAGAAAAGCGGACGGGCCGCAAGAAGATCACCGGTGCTAATCTGTTTCCCCCTTTTCGTAGGAACCCTAATCGTCCTAATGATCCGCGGCAAGAAAAACACGGCCATGCCTAAGCCAACCAAAGCTTTCCTTCCCCAGACTGGGGAATCAACCGCCTTCGCGTCTCACACCCGGTCTACCTAACCCGATCAACCCAGGTTACTTCAACCCCAACGGATTACCAACTCCGTCGTGTACGCCAGTACGTCTTCGTCTTCCTCTTCTTCTTCTTTTCTTGTATCACCTATGTTGTCTCTCACACATCGTTCGCTACTTATGATGTAAATTAATAAACTGGAAAGAGCTAGGAACTCGATTTTATCAATCGTTGATTAACTCTGATCGGTCCAACTTTTCTGATTCTTCTTTCGACTCTCAATCTTCTCTTTAAATGCTTTCTTTCTTCAATTATGTAATTTAATTATGTACAGTATTATTTTTGTTTTAGGAGTAATTTTAAATTGAATTTACAGATATTTTTTGCAAAGTGACTTAAATCGAAAGAGTAAAAAATTTTATTTTTGAAAAACTTAAATATTCTATAAATCTGAATAAACATTAAGGAAATTAATGAAAATAAATATTCTTGAGAAAATATCTTAATCACAACTTTGTAAAATAACTTGTTGTCATTTTAATGATTTCAAGATTGAAATAAAATTGAAGTAAAAAAAATTATTATAATATTCTGAAAAAATAAATATTATTGTGCATAAAATTTTATAAAGAGAGACAATTATATAGATAATAAAACATTACTTTTAGTTAATTTTCAAACAACATATAATCTGAAGAACATCATCATAAAACATTTTCTTTAAGAGACATATTGTTTTTCCATGCTTTCTGATTATCTGGGAAAGAATGTGTAAAATTACAATCAAACATACAAGATAATATGATTACCTTGAAAATGCATTTTGTCTCATTTTTTCTGCACAAAATTGCATACTAAAAATTCTTTTACTGACAGGAAACAAATGCGCGCGGCTTTATATATCGTTCACTAACATGACAATCCGTAGATGTTTGATAGATTTTAACACATTCTTTCAAATATCTTTTATTTAAATATTAAACTTTAAACTAATTAAATCAGAAGGCTTTTTTCAAAAAACAATAATTGCAATTCACCTATAAATAAATACCTATATGAACCATTTAAGCACACACTGTGAATTACCTCTCGACACTGAAACCTCGTAAAAAATGTATTAATTAGCTCTCGATCGTAGTAGACCTAAAATCTGTCATAGCATCTCAACAATCACAAATTATCCGCGAATAAAAATAAATATTGAAAATGTATTAAAGTATTAAATAAATCGCAAGTGCACAGTTTTTCATATTTGAAGAGCGGCAATCGAATTGTCGGCAAGTATCAGACGTATAAATAGTTCCAGCACTAGTCAGTCGGCCCTTTATGAGATCGCGCGATCTCATCACAATCTCTTTCGTGTGCGAAAGGAACCCGGGGGGTTGATGAAAAAGTCACTTTCACGTTCGCGCATCATCGCCGATCGTCATCCCTCATCGCACTAGCTAACAATTTAGTCGGAGCAAAGAGGCAAGAAAAGCGAGAGAGACGGCAAGAGAAGTCTTGGAAGACTGACCTGTGCCCATCTCCTCCGCAGCTGCTCAAAAGTCGAACATCGCCAGAGAACGCCGTACAGCCGAGCTCGTGGTCCCGACGCGGCGTCGAGGAGGTCGCGCGAAGTCCCGAAGCATTCTCCGTGACGGGGTGGCTTCGAGCCTCGACGTACCTAGTCATCTCTCTCTCGTCGGGAAGGGCGTACTCGCGTATTCGCGTGTCCGTGTCTATGTGCATGCGTATTTGTGCGCGCGCGTGTATATATATATCTATTATATATTTCTATATATGTGTGTGTGTGTGTGTGCGCGTGTCTATTCGTGTGTATGCGTATATATAGGGGTTGTTGCCCGACTGGCTGCCGGAGCAGCTATCTCTCCTGTCCGTAGCCACATCACGGAGAATCATGGGTCGTTCCCCGATACGGTCGACATAGTCCGGTCCCTCCTGCGCGCGCGAGGGATGGTGGAATGAGGGATGCCGAGGGAAAGGGTAGATAGGTAGATGTGGGTGGATGGTTGCGAACCAACACACCGACGCCAATCCCTAAACGACCGCGACTCGCGGCGAGAAGGCCACGGTGATGGCGTACCCGGGGTTACGTCACGCGAATCCACGGCGTAACACCTCTTCTTCACCTCCGCCACCTCCGTTGTCGCCGCCGTAGTTGGCACGTTGGCCTACACGGATACTCGGGAGGGGTTGCGTTGAACGGCGGCAACTGTTTTCGGGGTGGGGAATACCAGCGGCGAGGCTAGCGACTAGACTCTCAGCCCGGGGACTTGCTGGCCGAGTGGCTGACTCGACTATAGCGGGGTAGCGCTAGTTAGCCATCGGCAACTACGGGGCGGCTCCCGGAGGCCACGTTGTCAGACGGCCGTTACCACTGTGTCATTGGTCGACTCCACCCACGAGGATGCGAGGGGTTGAGGGTGAATTCGCGAAGGGGTGGTGGGCGGCGCCAGGGCGAATCGACGACGCTGATTCGACGCCCGGTCACCAGTCGCGTCGCGCCGACCAATCGACAATACGGGATTAGGGTGGCTGACGACGGCGTTAACATCTGCCTTCCGGCAGCAGCTATTTACCAGCGACACACTAGCGGCGCCGTTGCTTTTTTTATGGTATAAGTATGGGATATATATGTGTAGGTAGATAAGTGGAAAGCTACCCGGGTGGAAAATGGGTACGTAAAGTAGGTAAACAGGGGGATATGGCTACGATCGACAATTGCATTTCTGCGATTCTTGTAAATCTTGAGATTCCAGGAATCTTTGAATCTATAATGACGAGATCGTATTCCTAGAAATTCAAACTATATTGTTAGACTACGTAAAATTTCTAATAAATTTTTGTCAATTGTATGTATTAAATTGAGATGTATATATCTCTCTGAGATCTATAGTTATATATATAGATTATAATCTATACAAAGATATATTACAAAATATAATACGATTAGATATGATGCGGATCTCTTACAATTAGTGCAGTGCATTATATCGATCAGGCCATTTTGTCGGCGTTATGTAATGACACACCCCTCTCGCGAGCGAACTCTCGTTTACGAGCTGCGCGCGACACCCCGATCGATCACGCCCCTTTGACTTCTTGGCTTATACCAGCCGGGCAATTACATCTTGGTTTCGATTTTTATTAAACGAGAGTCGCGTCCCAAAACGAATTCAAATTCTATTATTTTATCTATATTTTTATGTTTTTATTCTCAAGACATAAATTTTTTTTTGTGTATTAATTGCTGTATATATACACATACTTTTAATATGTTCATGTGATATCTAATAATCGTCGTTGTACATATCACCAATTTTTTTTATTATTGTAATATTTTACAATTCTACAAAAAAATATTTACTGTTGTAATTCTTTGCCTAATCTCACAAAGTGCGAGAAATTCAAACAATAAAAACTTTCATTTAACATAATAGTTAATCGTCTATAAAAAAAGCTTAACGATACTAATTTGACTCTATAATAATTATCATAGCAATTGAAACTAAATAAATCTTAAATGACATTAATAACAGCTATTATAGAAAGGGTGGACATTACATATTGAGTTTCTCTTTGATTTCCCCAATCTTAAAATAATACATCATACTAATAGTATGTAATACTTTTAAAAGCATTAAAAATTTTATAATTTATGTAACGTTATAAAGTCCGTATGTATTGGGATAATTTACTTGTATTCAAAAAGCACTGCACTGTACTTCTAAGATATATCACTTAATTGGCACTGCTGCAATTGGTCTTGTAGCTGAGCATATCGCATTTGTAACGAGCGCTCTCGCTCCGTCTGTCTAGTTACGTCTTCCATCAGCGCATTTATTCTTCTTGGAATTGCTGCATTTTCTTGGGTTTGCAAAAATTTAAATGTCGATAGCTCAAGATGCGCTTGCTCTATCTGCTCCCATAAATCATGCAGCTGCTTTGTCAGCACCTGTGTCCTGGTCTATTCAAAAAATAAAACAACAAATTTATAAGAATAACATCAATTTACACGAGGATTTTTCTCAGAAAAATTATATAGATTAGAAAATGTAAAAAATTTACATAATTTGTGCGGCTAAATCAAAATTTTTTTGTGTAAATTGACATTAATTTTATTTTATTGCTTTATTTTAACTGAGATTGAATGCAAACTACAATCTCAGTCTTTATACGTTAAGATATTCTTAATTTTTCCGAATTTTCTGTATTATACATTATTATACTAATAATATAATGTATACTATTGATATAATAATGTATATTATATAACACGGAAAATTTAAAAAAACTACCAGTATTATATTACTATTCACAGTATGAGTTCTATGTAAATTATCCCAAAAATGTATTAATGCAGAAATAAAAATGCGTTTAAAATATAATATTACATAAATAGAAAACTATTCCAATTGCAATAATTATATTAAATTTAGAATATCAAATTTTATTTACCTGATAACCACCAGTAAGTACTTTTAACTTCTTTTCCATCCTCGCAGCACGTTTAGCTTCTCCTGTCATATGCATACGATTTTCTTCTAATTTTCTTTCGCATGCCTCCACTCTATCTTTCTTCGAAGCTAATGTTGCACGAGTATATCGTTTCTGTGTTTCGAGATATAGAATCTGCGACAGACATTCTTCCCATACAGTGGTATAGGCGTCTAAGCTTAATTCTCCATGTGCCATTCCTTCCTTTACAACTCCCATTTCATCAGTTAACATTTGCTTGGCCTAGATTTAAACATTGATTAATGAACAATATGTATGTAACACAGAAATAAAACCTATAAATATAATAAAATGTATGTAACGCAGAAATAAAAAATATAAATGTAATAAAAAAAAATTGAAAAAATATATAAGAAATATGTATTAAAATATAATAAAAAGATTTTATATATGATAAAAAGATTCTTTTAGACTCACAGCAACAAGATCGTTTTCCTCGAAAGCATCATACGAATGTTGTTCTAAATAAGTCTGAGCCTGAGCCAATGTTGTTGCAGCACCCTTTCGGCCTGGCTGTGTCGGATTATGTAGTGCATCATAGTGTAACATTGTTATCATTTCTCTCTTTATCAATTCTTCTGCCTAAGAATATAATATAAAGTAATTTGTATAAAAATCAAGAATATATAGAAATATGAAACTTTATGTATAGAGCATTTTCTGCTTACCCTCTGTAAATCAGTTAGCGGTGTATCTATATATGGTCTCAAAATATTCATATTTATATCTGCAGGTCGTGGTAAATCTCTTTGTATCACTTGTGACCTCCGTGACAATTCTCTTTTTCCTACAGAAAAGGAAAAATATTCGTTATATCTACCAGCGTTTTTTCGAATAAAGCAGGTTTAATCGATCTCGCATCGATTTAATCCGCTATAAATCAAATATATTTGTAAAATTAATAAGGTTAGAAAAAGATAAATAATAATTCTGTTGTAACAAAAATGTATATATAGTATATATATAAATTTGTGTTTTATGTGTATAATTTTCTATAATATAAAAATATGATTGCTCTGAAGTATTCTAAAAGATAAACGAACACATTTTAAATATCAAAATGTTGCAAAAGTGTCACTGCTTGAATTATTCATCTGTATAAGCAATTTATATTTAATAGACTTACTTTCTTCTAATAATTCCTGTTGTCGCCTTGCATCAATATCCGCTTGGTCCTCGATTATCTCAACTGCAGGTGCACTGGTATTTTCCTCATTTATATCTCCATCATTTATATCTATCTCATAATCATTACACGGTGCAGGTAAAGAGCCTAATACCGAACGTAATGAACTCTTTGCTTGGGTCTGTATGAGTGGAGTTTCTGACCCATCCACATTTTCGTCCGGATTTATATTGAGCTTATCGCGAACAGGTGTTGTTGCTAAAACTCCATTTTGCGTTCGCACTGACGCCCCGCCTGGCGTATTGAAAGAATTCAGGGGTGTTCCATCGTTGTGCTGTGATCGAAACGGAGTGGTTAAAATTGTATTCGGTGTTGCGACGACATTGCTAGGAGGTACAACGCCGGTAAAGTCAGGATTATTCAATGGGGTATTCAAGCCACCTAGAAAAAATATTTATAAAATATAGACATAACATATGAATATAAATATAAAATACTTATAAAAAACTTATAAAAAGTATGCGAGACTCACAATATGCATGTATTAAAATTATCAGAATTTGTTATATTCTCACCCTTCAGTGGTGTGTCTACATGTGTAAGAGCCATAACATTTTGAGCTTCTTGCAAGATTCTGTCTGTAGCGGCTGGTGTGCGAGGTGTTACTGCCGCGTTTGTAGGTAAAGAATAATCGGCTAATAAACTCTCAGAGAGTGTAATACCGCTTTCAGTAGCAACTTCTCGTGCAACCTGTAACAAAATATTAAACAATGTATTAATATCATAAATTTCCAATACTATGTATAGAAAATAAATAGGAGAAAACATACTTCCGAGGCTCTGCCAAGTTTAACAACTTGCTGTAATTCTTGATCGGAGATTTGTGGTTCTGGTAAGACCAACTTACTCCTTTTCTTTACAGGCTCTTCATTATTGAGCATACCCATAGGTATATCATTCTCTTTACGTTGTTTCAACTTCTGTTTGTCTTTCCTACGCTCCATTTCTTCTTTTTCCTGTCGAAGCTCGCCATCTAAATGCTGTTGTCTCATTCTTGAAAAATCAATCGCCAGAGGATCGACGTGTTCGTTTGACGTGTCATAGAAACCAGGTGCAGGTCGTTTCTCAAACGGTATTTCTGTATTGTAATTAACGCCACGTTTGCGCTTGTTTTTTTGAGAAACCGTTATGCCAGCAGCTCTTAATTCTCTGCGTTTCTGTAGAGCAGCAAGTCTACGTGCCTCTTCTAATTGTTTTTCACGCGCTTTACGTTTTGCTTTCTTGCCTTGGGTATTTGCTAATCTAGCACGTGCCTCAGATAACATTTCTAATTCTGTAAAGGAATACAATTATTATTAGAAATATGTATTCTTTTTGTTAAAAATATAATTATTTTTACAGTATTTAATAAAAAATTTTGCATTAATATTAAAAAATTAATGATGCTCTAAACAATGATTTTTAACTCACCATCTTCATCCATATCTTTCGGATCTGGTCTTGCTGGTTTAGTCTCTGGATTTGGATCAATTTCACCTGGTTTAAGTTTACGAGGATCATCAACAGCATCATCTCCCTCTTCTTTCTTCTGAGCTTGGTCACTAAAATAAATCAATAGTTATATAAACACTAAAGCTAAATCAGAATAAATATTCTTTTTAAATAAAATCCAATCTTACAGTAAATATTCATATCGTTCCAAGCATTGCGCAGCTGTTCTGCCTATGATAGGGGCAATAGTTCGCCACTGGGTAGGCATTAACTTCGCAAGATGAAGTAACTTTTCATCTTCTTCTCTACTCCATTCAGTTTTCTTTATGCTTGGATCGAGCCATTCGAACCAGCGCGCCTTGCACTGCTTCGCCGATTTTCTATGCAATAGGGATGCAATCCGGCTCCATTGGTTTTTGCCATATTTCATTACGGCTGCTTTGAGAATTTCATCCTGAAAACACAATTTTTTTCATTAATAAAATTAATTATTTTCACACATCACACACATACACGGATCAAGGTCCAGGTTAGAAAATATTGTATGTCATTTACCTCCGTGTTCCGCCAGACTCCACCTTTTATCATAATCCGCGGCATTTTTTATTTTTATTTACTGTACGTTGCTGTACGTTTATTTCTTTATATCTTTACTTATAAAGCTTTTCAATTACAATCGTGAGTAACGGAAAAAATCTCACATCCCCACATGCGGTAAACAAGCCGAAACAAATTGCGTTATAGATGCGGAACGATAATTTTTATCATGCTAAAAGCGCTCACAGATGTCACTGTCATCATTTTGTTTCGTTTGCGAAAGAAACGACTGATTGACCAATCAGAGCAAAGAATTTTTGTCCCTCCCGTCCTGATTGGTCAATCAACTACTTCATAATTCGCGTATATATTTTTTATGTTCGACTATATTTATGCCATGTGATTATTTTTGGTTATCCGCTGCGTTTTAAATTGTGGAAGATCTCAAACAGATATTACAAGTACTGATTTATTCTGTATACACGATATTATATATTGTATGAATACATTATTATCTGTACTATTTTTAATTTGTGATAATCTTTAACAGAATGAAAGTTTCCAAGAAATCTGGAGGATTTCAATCCATGGCTCTCAGTTTTCCAATATTAAAAGGAATTCTCAAACGGGGCTATAAGATACCTACACCTATACAGAGAAAAGTATGATATTAATAAAAAATATTTTAATTTATATTACATTTCAAGTATAATAAATTTTGTTGATTTTTTATTTTTGTTAATTTTGTTATTAATATACAATTATATTTCAACAGACTATACCATTAGCTCTTGAGGGAAGAGATGTAGTAGCTATGGCTAGAACAGGTAGTGGAAAAACTGCCTGCTTCTTAATTCCTTTGTTCGAGAAACTCAAGGCGAGGCAGGCTAAGACTGGCGCACGAGCACTGATACTATCACCCACACGTGAACTGGCACTGCAAACGTTGAAATTTATAAAGGAGTTGGGGAAATTTACAGGATTAAAAGCAGTTGTGATTCTGGGTGGCGACAGTATGGATAATCAATTTAGTATAATTCATGAAAATCCTGACATTATTGTTGCTACTCCAGGGCGATTTTTACATATATGTATAGAAATGGACCTGAAATTGAAAAATGTTGAATATATTGTCTTTGATGAAGCCGATAGGTAATAGTTTTTCTTTTATGTATTTATAATATTTATGTCTATATTAACCATACTAAAGTTAAGATTGTACATTGCAGATTATTTGAAATGGGATTCGGAGAACAGATACAAGAAATTGTGAACAGATTACCTGAATCACGTCAAACGTTGTTGTTCTCTGCTACTTTGCCTAAAATCTTAGTAGACTTTGCAAAAGCTGGTCTTCATGATCCTATTCTACTTCGTTTGGATGTTGAAAGTAAATTGCCCGAAGGATTAACATTATCATTTATTACATGTCGCCCTGAAGAGAAATTGGCTGTACTTTTATGTTTGTTAAAAAGAATTATTAAGCCTGATTCGCAAACAATTATATTCGCGGAAACTATGCATCATGTGGAATATATCCATCAGGTAATCATTAAAATAATCATCTTTTAAATATATTTTGTGTATATTACTTTGAATTCAATAATTAAATATATTACTCATAAAATAATTTGTGATTACAGATATTGGATAAAGCAGACATTTCTAATACTTTTATCTACTCAAATCTGGATCCCTCTGCACGTAAAATAAATGCAGCTAAATTTCAAACTGGCAAAGTAAAAGTTCTTATAGTGACAGATGTTGCTGCTAGAGGAATAGATATACCATATCTAGATTGTGTGATTAATTTTAATTTTCCTGCAAAATCTAAACTCTTTGTACATAGAGTAGGTATGTACATTTGTAATTATTTTATTATTTATTATATTTAATTTAATTTATTATTATATTTGGAGATCAGATACATATAGCAAGTGCTTAAATGTGTTACCTATAATAACTATTTATTTCTTAGGACGGTGCGCTCGAGCTGGTCGTGCTGGAACAGCATATAATATCGTGAGTTCAGACGAATATCCTTATCTCTTAGATTTACATCTCTTTCTTGGTCGGCCTTTAACAATAATGCCGACTACAGGATCCATCGAAAATATGGAATCTGCCGTGGGAAAAATGCCACAGGCCATGATAGAGGAAGAACTGAGTCAGTTAATAAATTGGCATAACAACTCTATAGATCTCGTAAGTGTATTAGTTCAAATTGGTATAACCAATCATATTTCTCCTCTTTTTATCACATTAAGTGAGTATTTGTATTTTCAGACAAATATGCAAAACGTGTGTAACAACGCTTATCAACGGTATATCAAATCACGACCAGGTGCTTCAACAGAAAGTGTTAAAAGAACGAAAGAACTTTGTATAAATGAAGCTGGAATTCTACCTCAGTATTCTGATGTTTCTCCTGCAGCAATAGATATAATATCTAGGATGAAAAACTACAGACCACAAGGGGTAAGTGTGATCTTTCTTATACAGATAAAAAAATGTTATATTTAAATTTTAATATTAAAATCTTTTATAGACGATATTTGAGATTGGTACAAAAGCAAAGTCAATTGATTACCAAGCGATGAAGACCAAACGAATACTTCACAAAGAGAATATCTTTAATTTTCACAGAAAGATGGAAGATCGCAAGATTGAAGAAATTAAGACATCAAGTAAATATTATGCTCATAAACTATATTATATTCATATGTATTCACATATATATATAATACATACACAATATTGAATTTTTTCAACTTTTATAGAAAATTTGCCTCAAGAAAGTAATTTGCCATCCAGTAGTGCAGAAGAAATTAATGCTGCATTCAGTACAGTGATAGTTCCAAAAAAAAGAAGCAGTGACGATTTGTATAAAATTTCAAAGAAAAAGAAAACGCAAACAAAGCGAGATGAAGAATATTATATACCTTATTCTGCACCAGACAAGCATACAGAGGAAGGGTAAGAATTGCCACTATATAATTCTTTGTATTTTAACTCACTTTTCTAACTTTTAAATATTCTGAACTAATAAAACAATTTTTATTATATCACATTTCAAAATTAAAAAAAAATTAAAATTAAAATTTAATTCTCAATCTTTATTCTATTTGAAATTTGTTTTGTTTTTTTCAGTTTAGCTGTCAACAATTTTGCCACAGAAGCCGATAAAGCACAAATGGATTTAATGGCAGACAACGAAGAGAGCCAACATCTTCAAAAGCAATTAAAGAAGTGGGATCGAAAGAAAAAGAAAATGGTCACCATTGATCAGGTCCGTATATTTATTCTCATATAAAATTTTTTATCTTAGAAAATAAAATTATTTGCTGTATATTTTATCGAAACAGGATCCAAAAGCGAAAAAAATACGTACCGAATCGGGTGTATGGATACCTGCTACATACAAAACAAATCGATATAATATGTGGAAGGAGAAGAGTAAAGTTGATGAAAATGACAGCGAAAATGAGAGTGATAATGAGGAAAAATGTTTACAAACGCAAAACTGTAAGTTAATATAAAATCTTAAAAAATATTAAATCTAATCATAAAATTTGTTTTATAATTTCTCTTTTATATCGCGCATATCGATTTAGATCGATATATTTATATCGATACGCTTATATCAATTTAGATCGATATACTTATATAGCGATGTATTCACAACTCTAATCATGTATTATACATAAATAAAAGTGCTGCATCTTGTGTTTATTCTAGTGCGAACAACAGCAAATACACATTGGGCGAGGCACAATCAGAAACTAAAGGACAAAGTTAAAGCAAAGAACGAGCTGAAGAGACCCGAGCAAATCTTGAAGGCGCGGAAATTGCTCGAGAGAAAGCGCCAAAGAAACGGAAAAAGGCAAAGGTAAAGGTAAAGGCCAAAAAAATCACAGAAGGAAGCATTGAAACATTTTGATGTCTAAAATATGTATGTAATTATATTTTAATAATTATTGTAATCGAAAGTACATATTTTTTATTTCCTTCTGTGAGTTATCATTTGAAATAAACATAACAAGAATATTTTTCGCAATTAAATATAGTAGACACGTGATAACAGCGTTATGTTTAAACGATATAATGTTTAAATTTTCCACATACGTGTACGTGTATTTATATAAGTGAATATACACGCGCACACACACACGCACACACACATATATATATATATATATATATATATATATATATATAATGTATGACGCAAATAGGACACATTGATTTAAAAATAATCGTGCTCAATAATATCTCTCGAAAGCACAGTGACCTTATAAGTGAACGTTGTACAATTTAGGATGGTTGATCTTGCATCATAACATAGTGTTTACGTTGCACAATTGTGGGGTCTCCCATAAGGTATTACGAAGACTCGCTAGGCCCGCTTTTGCGCGAAGCCTTAAGAAATTTTGCGTCATCGAGGAACGTGCAACTTGCTCGCGATATAAGCCGCTGAAGGAAAACGCAAGCTGATGCGACCGTAAATTTTATCGAATTAACTGTTGGCGGAAGCTTATATCTTTGAGCGCCGTCGTGAGAATCACGAGACGATCGCATGACGAAGCAGAAGATCTGCTTGAAAATGATACATCTGGTTTCTTGCCACTTGAACGTTTTCTTAAAGAAACGTGACTAAACGTCTTACAATCCTGTGACATCACTTTGTAAAAAAATATGTCACGTTAGCGACATTCCTCGGCATTTTAATTATTATGCAGAACTTGGCGTGAAATAACAATAATATAAAAGTAAGTTATTGCAACATATTATGTCTGTATTATCGCGTCAACGTAGAATAGCTGTCGCGTGAAGGACATTTTTCAATAATTTAGAATCTCGATCAGAAACATAAATGATCTCTGGGAAAGAGATATTTCAGAGATTGTATACGCAAAAAAGAAAGATTGAACAATGCAAGTAATTGAGATATCGATTTCTGACAGGTAGTTGCATTGACTATTATTAACAGTCAATTAACGTTGGATGCGGTCGATTAAGCTTACTATCTGTGTCATAACGAGCCCTTCTCCCTTTATATCTGTTTGTCCCAGCTATGATCTAAAAAGGCAACACGATACGACGCCGATCGCGATTAATAAAGCTAGGATGACGATGCAACTGGATCCCAAAGAGAATTACTCCGGTTTCCAATTTCCTTCGAATCCGATAGTATCTTGACAACATACGTAGTTTATGCATAATGTTTCTGTTTGTCGACCAATACCATTAAGATGACATTCCTTATCAGAGAGAGAGAAAAGTAGATAGATAGATTGAAACGTGCCGCTTGCATTCCAATGTTTCTCTCTCCTCTTGTTTACCCTTTCCTTCTCTTTCGTCATTTTCTCCGCTCTTGTTCTGTTTCTCTCTTTTTTCATCTCTCGTGTTGTAATCTTAGTCTCTTGGTCGCATCTATAACTCGTCTATTTGTCTATTCGCCTTCTATTCGAGCTCGACCTTCCCCTACTACGAGCGCTTTTAACTCGGAACGAGAAGAACATCTGCGCTCCGCTACAACAACGCGGCTGCAGCCGACCCTCCGGCCCAAAATAGAGATTATTATGATAGAGCATCTGTTGTAGCGGGTGTTGGGACGAGGAGAATTCTCGGCGAAGTAAAAAAAAATACGTCGAGTGGCGGGTTTTACTGGCGCGAGAAGAGCGCGCGTGTATTTTGGACGTGCGTGCATGCACGCGCAGCGTGTTTCTTTAATTTCTTACTACGTGTGAAACATATGCAGATCATAAAATTACGCGTATTTTGTTCGAAAACACGTAGAAATTGGTACAAGGACTCTTTTTCCTTTCTTTCTTTTTTTTTTCATGCGTACGGTTTGATCTTGGGAATGAACGCGAGACACGAAGAGACGGGAATCTCCTCGACTATATCTGTCATATCGTAGCATATCATTTGCGAATTACAGGAATTAGCAGATTGCATCGGGATGCTTCTATTATACGCTCGCAATTTATGTAACGAGAATTTTTCACACATTATAAGAATTTACTCCGTACGTCATCAATAATGAAAATTAAATAGTCGCGTTTTTTCCCGCTTTTATTTCCGTATATTATTTTCGCAAGTTATCGCGATTATATATTCATATATAAGTTTGAAAATAAAATTCTAACGAAAGTAATAAACAAATACGCGTGACGATTTCGCAGGCGAGTTGACGATAAGCTCGAGTTTCGTGTACGCATCTCTGAGTCTTCTTGTGACTAATAATTTAATCTGACGAACGTGCGTGAAAAAACAAAGCTATACGCTATGTACGCACGATGGTCACGTTACTACGTATATATTACGGCCGCTGCGCGGGAATCACGTGTTGCGTCTCTGCCGCCTGTCATCCGCTCTTCTCTCTCTCTCTCCCTCGGCATCGGTATGTCGGGGACATTAATTCATGCGCAAGCGAATGCATACACACGGACATGCTCTCATTCTTACGTCGGCTGCGTGTCCAGCCGGCGGCGTCGACGTCGTCGACGAAAACAATCGGAGGAAGTGGGGAGAGAACAGTGGCGTAACAGAGGAATGTACTTGGAATCTCGCATAATTTAAGAAACCTCGCGGCAACTCGCTGCATCCATATGCATACCGTTGCAAGTCTATCAGGCTCTTGGATCGTTCGACTCACTAAGACTGAAATATCTAAATATATCTAGTTTTAATTTTTTAATTTCTTCTTTTTCAATTCGTAGCTTCCTTTTTTCTTCTCTCTGCATTCTTGCTCTTTTTTTTTTTACCTGAAGCATATGTTTTATCGTGATTTGTTATATTTACTAAATATATATAAGTTTTATTCATAAGTTTTAGTGATTTTTTCTTTTTCAATTCTCTGTTTCCTTTTTTTCTCTTCATTTTTTCTTCTCTCTGCATTCTTGCTCTATCTTTTTTTTTTTTTTTTTACCTGAAGCATGTTATCTCGTTCGAGGTCCCGTGATTCGTTATTACGTCTCTGAGAAGGAATGTCCTCCGCAATTCACGAGCAGGCTTCATCACTAACAAGCGTAAATTTCAATGAATTCAATATAATCTCTGGGAGTAGGAGAAGAACAGACAGAGAGAGAACTCGTCAGCGAGTGATTTCGTTCTATTTTAACACACGTTACATTTTTTTATTTGTGCTTTTCGCTTTAGTCAGAACAATGATGTATCGCGATAAAAATAATTCTTCGTATTATAATATATATATATATATATATATATTCTGAAATGCCAAAATTCATGAACACTAAGAAAGTTGGTTAATTATATACGATGTTTACACTTTCTAAGATTTTTAAAAATATATTTGAGAAATGTGATTTCTCTACATTTCTCGACATTTTGTCTAGTCAAAAATTAATAAAAATTAACTTTTTAATCATCGGCATTTCGTTGTTGAAAAAAAGTAATTAACGGTAAATATAAATGACGAATATATAAATATATAAATAAAAATGCAGATAAGTAATAATTTATGACATATTAATATCTCTCTGTCTTTTAATCTTTTCTGTAAACAAGAGTATACCAAGAATAACTTTTTATAAATAACTTCTTAAGATAAAAAAATGTATATCTGTATTAAAACTAAAATAGTATAACTGTCATATATAAAATGGGATGACTATCACATCAATCTGAAAGACATTACTTATTTAGATCTAAAGAACCATCTTCTGTAGGAATGGTCTGTCAAAAAGCAAACAAGAGAATGATGTAAGTCAGAAATAATGTGTCTCACAGAACAGTTCACAGACCGCCCTTGCGTCGATCCATTACTTTGTCGTTGCACTTGGCGCAGGGTCAAGTCTGATCTGACACTTGCATCACGACTGACGATTGCAAGTGTCGTGTGTCAAATTCTTGCTGCAATTAACACCCTGCCGTTTCTATTTACATCTCCATTTGAGATATTTTAAATTAGTGAAAAGGTTAAAAAACAGAATTTTGTTTAAAATCATAAATTGAAATTTTTTTTAACGCTAAAAGAAATCGAGAAAATGTGTTTTTTTATATTACTAAAAGTATCAAATTCTGATATTTTCTATGTAGTAAAAGATATTTCGATTCGATGACTTTTTAAAGTTTTAAATTTTCTCGACTTCGTTTTAGAAAAAAAAACATGTAAAATACACACATATATATATATATATATATATATATATATATAATCTAAATATATTTTAATTCAGACTTTGGAATGTATAGGTCATATTCGGATCTATCAGTTGATTGTATTGTCACAGGACCTAGCTGAAATTACGACGATTATAATGAAATATACTACAGTAATTTTTGAAGAAATTGTGTGAAAGCAGAGGATTAAAAAACAGGACAATAGAAAAAATACAAAAGTATTTTTGAAAAGAGAAAGAGGTCCAGAAAGAAGGAAGCCCGCTACTTCTGGCATCGTTTTATGTGCCGTGTTGGTCGATGACATATAACTATGTATACCAATGGCAAGATATTCAAGTATATTGCGCCTGTCGCTCTGACACGCAGGCAGGTAGAAAGCGGAACACTTCAGGAAGTTGCCGATATTCGCATCTCAGGATTCAGTATATATGTATAGTCGTTATATTTCCAGGCGAAAACGCCTGGTTAAAATATGCGCCATTTCGAAAATTTATGTGATGTCACAAACCTTATTAGAATTCTGGACGAGATTGCTAAAAGGATGCTATATTCACATTTTAGTAAAATATAATAGTAGTTATTTTACACATAGGAATTTATTATGTGAAAAGCATTTGTTATTCTAGAACGAGAAAAAGATTTCAAAGAAAATGTAAAATTATTAATACATTAAGAGTTTTTGATTATATGATTACAAACTTTAATATATAATTTTCATTTTTACAATCTAAATAGTATGATCAATGTATGATATATATATTTTTTTTGAAAGGAAAATTAATCAATTAAATGATTCCTCTAATCATTTGTGCATCAATAGTGATTTTCATTTTTTTTAACACGATAATTAACATATTTTTTACATGATAAAGATTAAATGGCAAATAAAAAACAAATTAACGTGATATACTAATTTATATAAATTCCGACAAGAGAAATCAGACACAGACACACAGAGATTTTTAAGAATTATATTCCCCACACGGAGAGAATTTTCTTCTTAAAACTTAAAATTTAAAATTTACCCTGACAGTCATATGATAATCGGGAGACAATATGGTATTGAAAGAAATTTATAAGAGTTTCTCTAATTAATACTTATCACAAAATAAAAAATATTAATATGTACATATGCTTATATAGTAAAATTAATCGAATATATTTTATTTTTATTGCGATATTAACATTTTTATTGTTACCACGATTACCATGATTTTTAAGGAAAATTCTCTCTATGCAGCGAATAGAGATCTATCTTTGTGCCGCTATCGATTATAAGCGTTATAAACATATCGATTTTAAAGCAATTAGCGGTAAATGAGTCAGCGCGGGCTGAACCCTTCACGATCGAAAGCCCATTAATTTTGCGTGCAGCATGTGTGATATCATGCGCGATAGTGTTTACGACGAACGTATATAGAGGTATGCATGCACGATTGTTCGAAACGCGCACGTCATAATCCGGCGACGACGCATACACACGCGTGTACACGTCATAAGCTGAATATCGCAGCTGCATGACGCAGCGCGAATTTAAAGTCCATTTTTGCAAACGAAATACGAGTGACAATGCCACGACAAAAGTAATAAGAATATGTCATTTATTTAATCCATCATATTTTTTTAATAATTTCCGAAGATATTCCATGTGCGTCTTTATCGTATACGTATATATATATATGTATATAGGATGCGAAAAGTTTCATTGTTCGCCCCAATTGCGTATACGAATCGGCGCCGGAGACCGCGAGAAGAAAGCAAAAGGCCGTCGCCGTTTGAAAGGAAAGCAGCATATATATACGGATCCGTAACGCCATAACGCATGGCTGCATTTGGAGCACCTAATGCTCCCCAAAATCCTGCTCGACTCGTGCGGCCGCCTAATGTCAGCCTGCCGTGTGTCGCAGCCGGGTGCAGCTGCACTCGTGGCTGCACGACCTTTCCCCACTCGAATAAACGTTTCCCTCTCACCTCCCCTATTCTCTCTGTCCATCCGTATTTCGTTGCCAACCTAAGATAATAATTCCTCGCTCCCGGGGCCGTTCGTCATTCAGGCGCGGCACTGCAAATCGTCGCCCGGAACGAATCTAAATGAATCACAAGCGCGGGAAATTCCACGAATATATTTCAATCTAGATTCTAGATCGTAAAAAAAAATCGAAATTTTTTCTACGAATTAAAATTTTCAAATAAATTGCGCGTTTTCAATCTTCTCTCGATATCTCGTATATCTTACGTTTATCTCTGAAAGAGATATGAATTATTGAATGCAAGGTTTATGTACGAGAGATAAAATGAGTTTTGATGCAAGCATATTTAGAATTAATTATCTTCATTATTATATTATTATTAATATCGTTACATAATATTTTATTATATTATTATATGGCGTTATTATTATCAAGATTATCTTTTCTTTCTTCGATCAATTTTTTTTATGACGTGGATGACGAATCGTTTATTTTCTTCGTAAAGTGACAAGGGCTAATTAAGCCAAGACTATCGCGTAAGATATATATATGATTGCCCGACGATGTTCTTATCTCAATATGCTGTCATCCCGTTTGGTTGATAGCGCGTCAGCTTACAGTCAGCACCATCATTGCCTCTACGTCGAACAATGCCGGAGTAAAGTGACAATGAGATGAAACGCTGTCAATACGGCAATGAGTATTGCTAGCGCTATGATATAATAGCCGCCGTTACTGGAGAATTATGTGCGCCCCTTCTATAGTGAGAAGACGATAAAATCGTCCATTATTGCTGTTTAAGAGTGATTTAAACTGTCAATAGAATCGTTACATTGTGCATATTTCCTTTATTTTTTTCAATTATTTTTGTGACATTTGTGAGATTGAATCTATAAGCGAAGCGATATAAATTTGAATATTGGAATTTCTTTTTTTTAAATTTAAAAGAAGAGAATCCAGATTTTTGCATTAATTTCCATTCAAATGAGAAAATTATTTTTATCCGCCACGTGTTTATCTAATGACGCGCAAGCGACGTACAAGTGTTTGACACATGTATATATACATAGTATATCAAATCGAGTCAAGTGTGTTATGTTAATCGAGAAATGAGAATATATATATATATCATTATTATCAGCGAACTATTTTAAGACGGAAGTTAATGAATCATTCGGACTTTGCATGATTTACATTGCACACAAATCTTTACACACATCTATATTATCTTTTGTTTTTAGTTGTACGAAATTTATTTCCCCAATTGTGTTTATTAATAAGCCGATAATCTCGCATTATAATGATTAAATTTCTTTTATTCTTTTTTTATTTATATATATATCAAACTATGAATGCAAAATCTAACTCGAGTTTGAATATATTTTCAGTCAAGTAGGATAAAGTAGAAGTTCGATCGCTTTTGATAAAGAAATTTAATCGATTTAATGCGAATAAAAAAAAATATTTCATCGCAAGAAAAGACGCTATCAAATTTCCGCGCACTCGACCACGTGACTCGCACGTGGGCCGGCGATTCGCCCGCGCGCTCCTGTCACTGCGCAGGCGCGCTGGTCTCCCGGAGTTCGCGTCCGCCGCGTTGGCAGCAGTGCGTCGCCGAGTCAGTGTTCAATGTGTCGTGCGACAAACAACAACGTCGGGTTTGGGCGAGCGCATATCCGTTGTCCCTTCAGCCGTGTCGCTTCGCAGAGTATCACGTACGTACGTGAAAGCGCGAGGAGACGCGCGTCGCGTCCGAACACACCGAAACGGCGTGAAACGTGCGTCGAGCGTGTGTCGTTGCTGCATAACGTTTAGTGGTGGTGATAATGGTGCATCGTCGTCCAACGTCCGTCCGCTCTGTCGCGTAACGATGCATCGTGCGCATCACGTCCGCGACGACGGAACCGCGATCGACGCGCGTTGTTGGGCGTAGCCGGCGGCAGCGAGAAACGGAGGAGCGTGCGTGTGTGACAAAAGCCTTGTGTGGGAACGCGCCGCCGTCTGCCATTGTAAGCAGGCGGGATCCTTCGCAGGGACCCCATATCCTCGGTGCATCCGTACTCGCGCTCGCGTCGTGTGAGAGAATAGAGACGCGGGCACCTACGTATACATATATACATATTCTCCCTCTCTCTCTTTCTCGTTGGATCGCACTCTGCGTCCCCGGTCGCTGGAACAACATTTCCGGTAAAACTCGACGCACTTAAGAGGATCAACCGGAAGAAGCGATCAGAGACGTGCGAGGCATGTCGTCGTAGCATCGTGCAAAACTCGTGGCGAGATCTCGTGGATTACGAGCGCGAGGTGAGTGCCGACTTTGACGTTGTTGACATTTCGCGGCGATTGATTCCGTCTCCCCATTGAGGGATGGCGACGACGATGACCGGTACTTCGGTAGTGCGTGTAGAGGAGAAATGTTTCCAACATTTTGTGTCAACACGCGCCGACACGTAAGGAAACGCTCGCTCTCGCGCGCACGCCACGGCACACCCATGTCTCGCTGCGTGAGCGAGCGAAAAATACGCGAGCGTGTCGACGCGGTGCCAGGAGACGCTCGCGCGGCGCGGCGAAACGGAGAGGCGGGGTATAGCATACATAGATCGAAATCGCGAAAGATCGCCGCCGTCGCGGATTCTGCGTAGCGAGAAAAGAGCACGCGAGCATCGTTACGACGGCCGATTTTTTTCGATCGCGATGCGAGCGAGGACTTCGATACTGTTGACTTTACAGTAAAAGTGAATGTAAATAATTTCCAAGTGTGTGATGATTTCTTGAATTTATTCCGATCTTAAGGACGTTATAATTATTTATTTTTAATATATTTTTTTAGAGAGCTATCCGTGTCGAAATTGTTCGTAGTTTTACATTTTTGGATATTAATTGAATTGAATTACTGTGTAAGTTCGAGTTCAAATTTCTTTGCGAGAGATACGCGATGTTTTATACAAAAATTTTTATTAAAAAATCGTGTATTGTATAACAAATTTTTTATAAAAAAATTGAAGTATCTCTCGAAAGGAAAAAAATAAATATATCTATTTTTATTCTATAAAATAGTGACAATTGACACACTCTTCTCTGCTTGTTCGCAATGTCAAAAAATGTATCGAGAATCGTTTCGAAGTCCCGGTCGCAACCTAAGATAAGTAACGCGATTCCTGATAATTACATTCTGATATAATTTGCCTTATTTGAATGAGTACGACGATATGTTTCGGATATGATAGAGTCATGTGCACGATGAATGTGGAATGTCAAATGGCACGATTAATTTGTAATATTTAATTGTATTGCTTACGGCTCCGGACATTGGACTTTGATGTTTACCATATCAGAAATGCGAGAACTCTGTTCTAACTACTCCGATACACATTGAAGATTCGACGTTCGCAGAAAACTTTCGCAAGGTCTTGCGATGTCGACGTTCAAGTTTCGCGAAGGCCACAAATCGAAAATGTCACAAATTATGTGGTGTCGCGCTTAAAAGAATTTTTTATATCGAAAGAGTTGAAAACTACGATCAGACATGTCGTATACACATCCCACAATTTCTACAATGCATTATTTATTTCACAAACAGAAATATCGAAAATTAGAAATTGAATCAGGCAAATTATTTTGCATCTTGTAAACGCGCTAATTCGACAATTCGCGATTTGAAAGCGAAGAAAGTTTAGAATGTCTCAGCAGATTTGAGATATTCCAATTGAGGCTATTCCCCAGTCACCGCTTAAATTTATTACGCATATAAACTCTAATTTATTCTCAAGTTTTCTGACATTTCTATGACATTTTGCATCCGCAGTTTATTTTACGCAAGTAGATCATTGTTTGACCGCGGGATAAATGTTCCGGCGTTTTTTTCACGCGTCTCGATGCGTCGTGAAAAAACTTTGCGAGAGCTTTTTAATCGAGAAGGGAAATCCTCATTTATTCATACTACAATGCGTTCGGCTTTCTAGCGCAAGTTTCACGCCTACGCGCGTGAAGATGCGCGCCTAATCACGCTCCTAAAAGTCGTCGAAGTCCAAGACTCGAGTTCGATCGTCGACGCCGATTATTAGATCATCGACGGAATTCACGTACAACGGCCCGCATTCACGTCCGCCTTGTACTAGACGGGGAATTAATCGTTAAATAAGAAAAAGGAGGCGTATCGATGCTCCCTTTTATCTAGACATTGCCAGATCGTTCATAATAAATGTTAGCAGTTGAATTATATTGATAGATACCGTATCGTGATTAAAAGAAATTGATTGAATTGCGAAGCGTTGAAAAAAGTTTCTCCTTTGAGATATTATCTCACGAGCAATTATAAATAATAAAAAATGTGTATGCAATGTGAAATTTAATGATTACAAATCATGAAACTAAATCTTACGAATTGTTGGGCGGATGTTTATTTTTATACTCGATATAACATTCGTCGATATTCGATATCGCGAGTGAACGAGTCGATTCAAATATGGAGAGAATTGAATACTGGAACATTCGTGTAATTTCTATGTATATATGTAGATATAAATTATTATTATTTTTTATTCCACGCTGTGATTTTCTTAAATGTTCGACAGCTCTTGGCGTGAATTGCTTATAAGGTACCGTTTTGTTTAATTGCTAAATAAATAAAGGAGAGACGAGAGTCGATATACACTTTTACTCTGTAAAATTTTACAATTTGTGTAATTTTACATATTCTTATGTTTATTATTACATATTTTTTTACAGTGTATATTAGCAAAAAGTTGCAATTTTGGAACCGCGAATACACTCGTAACATCGTATACGCACCGGCACCGAAGCAGATCGGTGAAAGCATATGGTTCCATGAGTTTCGACTCGACGGACTGTGCGGCGGAATTTTGCAACCGATTCGTATGTTGAGATAGAAACCGCGGTTCCGCATCGTAACACCCGCGCCGCAATCTTTAAAATACTACGTTTTACTGTGTGTCACGTGGCGGATATTTCGCATTTATCGTTTTAACGCGCATAATAAAGAATTCGATGACGAAAACTTCGCGGTCAAATCCTTGGATAATATTCAGTATACGATTGATTTTATTGACAATATTTGTATAATTTGTAACAATTATTTAGAAGCGATTTAGTATTTCAACATTTTTATTATCATGGTAACTTCCAGACATGTTATTTTATATGCAGATTATATATGAAATTTATCGTCGACTCCGAACGTTTTTGCAAGTTTTTACGTCCAAACAATTTGCTGGAAAAATTAGCTTGATTGTTGCAATTAATGATTTAGAAAAAGCTCGAAATAACGTGTGATTTGTGTTTACATTAGAATTTGTAAAAGGATGAAATCGAATGAAGCAGTTTGTTCTTCGACAAGAGCATTTGTTTTCTACGTAACTTTCATATAACTCAACAGCGTAGCTTTTTTTGTACTCTCGTTTATTCGCGAGATAATTGCGTAGAATGGAGCCCGCTTTAACTGCGCCAGGAAGAGATCCTAGAAAGTATTCGAATTGATAAAAAGCCGTACTTTCTAAACTGTCTGTATTGCGGCATCGTAACTTTTTCCATTTGCGTTACCGTCAACAACGTGGACACTCGAATCCGGCGACCTTTTGTCAACTTTAACATTTCTTCCGATTGTGTTGATTCAAATATATATGCATGCATTCTTCACGATTAGTGTTTCGAGTGTCAGTTAACTAAACACAATATTTAATTGCTATATATTTAAAGAAAGCATCGAGATATATATCATACATATATCGACACGAAGAGAATTTTCTCTTAGAATTTACTCTGAAAATCATGGTAGTTATGGGATAATATGGTATTGGAATTTTATAAGAGTTTCTCTGATTAATATTCATCACAATAAAGAATATTAATATGTACTTAGTAAAATTGATTGAACATATTTTATCTTATTGTGATAAAAATATTAATCAGAGAAATTCTTATAAAATTTTCACAATACCATATTATCCTATACGATTACCAAGAGTTTTAGGGTATTTAAGAGAAGATTCTCTGTATACATATTTTGCGACAATCTAATTTGAAGACATTTCAGAAAATAAGATCCTTCATTAATTTTAAGCTTTTTTTATGATGAGTTAAGTTCTACAACGAATCTTTTATGACGAGAAAATTGCGCGATGAATTAGTGTCGGTTGGTGAATTATTGCTCGAAAGGAAATTCCAATCGCAAATATTATCTGGGGCGCGTATTGACCCTCCTAACAAATGCGCGATTTCCGGCTGAAGAGAACGAAGCTCCTGTATTCTTTTCGCGCGCATTATATAACCAATTAATTTCACAGCGCTGCGTACGTGAATCGGAAAGAGTATGTGTCTTTTGTTGTGTACATTAATGAAAAGATACGGCACATTCTCTCTCCAATTCGAGATACTGATTCCGTTATCGCATTTGACACTTCGTTTGATAACGACGCGTGTTCTTCTTGTGTCAGCGGTTGTCGTTGACATTACATCAAGTTGTATATTAGTTTTATTCGAGTCACGAGTCGAGATTGCATGCGAAAAATGACAATTCTTGTTGTTATCGGCCTGCGCTTCCAAAAATAATGAAAATACCGGAAATGCATCTCGTTTTCGTACAAGCATACTTCCGTAATTGCGTCTCTGTTGTGACTCTTCCTCGCACATGGCATGTGACATTCGAGGCTACGTCTATAGTATTGATTAGGATCTGTCTTTTTGATATCATATGACTATTTCTATTGCCGGCTATTCGTTCTATTTATCGCGATATGATTATTTATCGCGAGGTGTCATTTTAAAAATTGCAACCGGAGAAAGTCTATACAATAGCTTGTTAGGTTATTTACTGTACTATTATATATATTATCATTTGCGATACGTAGTATATACACATACAAATATATATAATAAGCTTGTAATTTTTTCCTGCATTTTTATCGCAATATTGAGATATCATTTTAAAAATAATAATGTGTACGTACACAATACTTAACCTATGTTTTGCTACATGTATTGTATATAGGATGTTTCAGAATTAACGGAAAAGTTTTTAATGGCAGATTCCTGGTATATCATTTTTTGCATGTTTCCAATTTTTGCCATCGTGTATCTTTTGTAATTAAGTCTTAAATTAAAATTCTATTAAAATAAACTCTACCTGAAATTAACTGAAGAATGTAGTTTTATTAATATTTTTTTTCCACAAGGCTTAGTATACAAAAAAGTCTTTATTTTCAACCGCTTATAACTCGACAATTATTGGAAGAAAAATTGTTTTTAAATAATCCCATTAAAAACTTTTCCAGTTCTGAAACACTTTATATATTACTGCATACGATACGGTAAATATGTTACATGCAGATATACGCATGTAATAAGAACTTCTTTTTTTGTATCTTCCTGAACTCCAAATATAAAAACGTCACGTGCGCACGTGCTTTTCCTCCGTCTTCGTATACTTGTGAGTTACGTGCATTTCTCCGCGAGAACCGCGAGACGATTTAGAGGTTTACGTTTGTGTGTTTTTTTTTTACAGGTGAAGCCCCAGCATGGCCAGCAGATGACTGTTAGCCGAGCCGGTGCTCGTACTCGACTCTAATATGAGCGAAGTAGTGGCAGTGACGCCGACTGGTGGACCTACTCGCCAGGAAAGCGTGACACACATCAAGCGGCACAAACTGGCCAGCTGTAATGTTCCTCTCGTACACGGTCGGCCGAATCCGTCGATCGTCAGTCCGCGTAGCAGACTGACCACCCATCAACGAAATCATAGTTTGGACTTCAGGTGCATGTGATTTGCATTTCGTCATTTTAAATCGCGCGTGTACATTATATATTGCCACGAAAGGCCATTTCCCGAATATATATATATATATATATATATATATATATAATATATTTCCGAGCCACTTTGCAAGAGCTATTTGCGAGAGCTGTGACGCGTCTCTATACGTCCTGGCACTTGTTGAATAAGCGGACGTAAAAGCCGTGTGTTATGCACGCCGCGATTATGCGATCGACGCCACTCGTCTTCGACGGCTAAATTGACGAGAAAATATGTGGAGAAGTTATGTCGTAGATAAATTGAGGAATATATGAGGTATTCGAATTGGCTGCACGACCACGATAACGGCGATGGAGACGTCATCAATATTAATAATCGCAACCGCACGCGGTCTATCCTATCTATTCTCTTCGCGCTTTTGCAGCCGCTAAACTGGAGCCGGCTAACGTTGCATGCATGCAATTTTCTCTTCGATCGAAATACATCACGGAAAGATTTACCGAGAAGTGGAATCAAATTAAAGAAAATTGTTTTAAAAAATGATGTTACAACAATACACTGAAAAAATTGTTAACTGAAAACCGTTTAATTAAATTACTGTTAGTTTTGTTAATTGAACATTTTAGTATTTAAGTCAAATATACGTTTTTTTTTTAAATTTAATATGTTATATTTAATTTAAATATTTCAATATGTTCAATTAACAAAATATTTAGTTGAACGATTCAAGTTAACAACTTTTTTTTTAGAATACAGATACGCGAATAGCTTTATTTTGTACTTGGAAATATAATCTTTTAAAATATAAAATAGAAAGAAAAAATATAAAATGTACTCTCTGTATCAAGATAAGAAATATAATAACAGTAAGCAAAACCTCACGATAAAGACACAAATGCACGAATGATGTAAAATGTTTTAAACACGTATACTAAAAAGATTGAGATACGGATAGTAACTCAAATAAACATACAATCTAATTATGATCTAAAATGTATTTTTCTGCAAAAAAAGTTAAAATTACATTTCATATATTTCTATATATATCTTCTTCAAAATACATTAAAATCAAAAGTATGTGCAACTCTAAAATAGTCCGTACAATTTTAGAAAATTAATTCGAGATAATTATCTTCTTAATTATAAAACTGTCGATTATATTTCTAGATCAATGGGTATCCTACTACCGCCGGTGCCTCAGGCGGCCGCAACGACTCTGACGCATCATCACAGGAACCGAAGTCTGGACTCTGCTTTGCAACGGATCCCGGAGGTGGACGTGACACCAAGTCCGGAATGCGAGAATCCCGCTCCTTCATCGGTCTCCAAGACGACAACGGTATCGTCGTCATCATCATCATCGTCGTCGTCGTCATCGTCATCGTCATCGTCGGGGTCATGCGGGAAGGGCGCTCGCACCGCGCGGGAACGCGAGGATCTGGCCAGTCTCGGTTCTGACGATTCCGGCATCCTGTGTGGCTCCGACAGTGGCTCGAGCGACGCCACGAATGCGCCCGCCACCCGGGAGTCCAGCGTGGATCATTTGCACAGCCGCGAGAGCCTCGACTCGGCCGTGTCGCAGCCGGGGGACTCGGTGTACTCGATCGATGTGGTGGACGGTGTGGAGAACGGTGCAGGTGTGGTGTCGATGTCGATGTCGGTGCCAGTGTCGCCCGTGGAACTGTCCACGCGTCTCAGTGATAGTCCGACGTCCCTTGTATCCCCCAATGACAAGACCACCGATCGTGATTGTCCGCGATCGTACAACGACACGAACGTTGTTGGTGAACCTTGCTCGCAAGAACCGCGAATTACTAACGCGAACGTGCGAGAACGCAATGGTGGTGACGATTATCAGCACCAGGAACGTGCCGAAATCTATCAAGGCGCTATTACGCAAATGGCATCGCCGCCGTCCGTGGCCGACACGAGCCAGAATGAGTTGGCCGGAGCGGCCATGACTCTCTGCTGCGGTACGACTGCGACACAGCAGCAGGAAGCCGAGACGGTGAAGAAGCAACCGGATGTTATTCGTCGACAGCAACAAGAGACGAAGCAACCGAAACCGTCAGAAGGCTGTCTGCTGCGACTCTTCGAGAGTCAAATATTCGACATGTCCATGGCTATTTCCTATTTGTTCAATTCGAAAGAACCCGGCGTTCAGAGTTATCTAGGTATAATATATATTAAATATAATTATAATTTCAGCATGTTTGCTAATTTTATCGTGTTTTGTTATCCATAAAGTAGTAATTATTACAAGATAAACAATAATATTTGTAATTTTCATTATATATGAGTTTCTAAATTCTATATCAAAATGAGAAAATTACAAAATAATAATTTTCTAGCAAATACATATTTTATCTCATTCTTATATCTTGTGTTTGATCATAAATATGACATGTGATATATTGTAGGTAACAAGATGTTCAGTTTTCCGGATAACGATGTGGACTTTTACTTACCACAGTTAGTTGTGATGTATATACAACTTCACGATATAACAGAAGTCCTTTATCCATATCTTGTCCATAGGTAAATATACTCGCTCATTAAAAGATTATTTGATTGTGCATCTTACAAGTCGCGATAAAATTTAAATGAATTCTAAACGAATCAATTGCAGATGTAGACAATCGGCAGATTTCTCGTTAAAATGCGCCTGGTTGTTAGACGCGTACAGTTCCGATGCTCATTTACCATCAAAAAAGAAGTCTCATGGGACCAAATTGAAAAATCTTATTCTGTCAGATGAACTCAGGTAAGAGCAATAAACAAATTTAGAAAGTAATGAAGATTACGAATAATTTTTGTTAGATATACGCGTATAAAACAAAATTTATTTCCAAGTGTGTAAACATTTTAGGCCAAAAGGAAATGAGAGTCGAAGGCAGCGTGTCGCTGGATTGCAAGTTCCTGCATCATCACCATTGCCCCCGGCGCAAAATCTTACGTCGCCGAATAAGAAAACCCACCAAAGATCTCAGTCCGACGCTACTGGATTGTTCCAGACTATACGCCGTAGTCATTCCGGTAATTATTCAAATAAATACGCTTATTAAAGTAATCATAAATTTTAATCAGATTATTCAATCTTCTATATCGCGTATTTGTCCTTGAAAGGTATAATAAATAAAGTAAGTCTTGGGGACCTGAGCTCTGGTCGAGCGTTTGACAATGGCTGTACCTGCTTTTATTCCTGCCAAGGTGTGGTGAACGATTTGCGAGGCCAAAAAACAGATTGTTTCTGCAACGTGAGTTACTTTACTTTGTACGAGACAAATGTAAATGTCGCATTTGTGAAATAGTGAATTAATGTAAAATTTATATTTCTTGTATACAGGCACCTCGACTCGCGCCAGAATTCGAATTTATTCAAGCGTTAATAACAATTGGTAAATTGCTCGGGACTATCCCAACAAAGGAAAGTAAAACCGTTCAATTAGTAGCAGAGCTCAACACGCTTAATTTGAATCTCCCTGCAAGAGTATGGTTACCTTTGCATAGTACGATACCCCATCATATCGTGCGAGTTCCTCCACAATATGCTGCTGTTCTTAACAGCAAGGACAAGGTATGACATTTCATTGTATATCGTATTCTTTGCGGAATTTATTATTCGAATATCCATTTTTATGTTAATATTATTGCACAGGCACCCTATATAATATATGTAGAGGTATTAGAAGTGGAAGATTTATATACGTCACCCGTGCCGACAAAAATAATGGGCAGTTCATTGAGGCATACCAAGTCTGAGGAAAATTTAACGGGCGGCGAACAATCCAACATATCCACTTCCGATAGCCAGCAGAATTTGGCGGTGCGACAGACACCTATAAAAAATATCTCGCCCTACTCTGTTAGGAATACAGACGTGACATTTAATTTTCCCGACGATGATCCTAACGATTGTTGGAGTCAGGAGGATGACGAGATTACGCAGCAGGTGAGTGTATCATTTAATATTCGTATTTCAAGCATATATAAATTTTTTTAATTCTACTATTCTAATTTTTCCCCATTCGTTTCTGCCCAGTATTTACAGCTTCGTAAGCCGAAAGATCGAGATACCATATCGCAATTAAGTCAAGATTCGTCCGACAGTAGAGAACCGATCTTTGTGCCGGGTGACATCAAAAGAAGATTAAGCGAGATGGCAGCTACGCCCAGTGCGACTTTTAGCCACGATCCCGAGGATCCATCAGCGGCGGTCCTTAAGGAACCATGGGAGCAAAAGCAACGACGCATAAGAGCTTCCAGTCCGTATGGGCACTTGGCGTCTTGGAGATTACTCGCCGTGATCGTGAAATGTGGTGACGATCTCAGGCAGGAACTTCTCGCCTCGCAGTTGCTTTCGATGTTGCAAAAGATTTGGCAGGACGAACGAGTGCCGCTCTGGGTGCGACCATACAAGTAAGAACGATGACTTATTATCGGATATTTTTTATCCAAACATTTTTAATTCTCTTTTACTCTTGAGAATAATAACTTTATTTCTTCTCGCACAGAATACTGTGTTTGTCCAACGACAGTGGTCTGATCGAACCGATCCTGAACACCGTCTCGCTCCATCAAGTGAAGAAGCAGTGCCAATTAACGCTTTTCCAATATTTCGAACGAGAGTTCGGCTCTCCTACCTCAGAGGCATTCCGCATAGCGCAGAGAAACTTCATTCAGAGTTGCGCCGCGTATTGCCTGGTCAGCTATCTTATTCAAGTGAAAGACCGTCACAACGGCAATATTCTGTTGCATAGCGACGGTCACTTGATCCACATAGATTTCGGATTCATTCTATCGACCTCGCCAAGAAATCTCGGCTTTGAGACCAGTCCGTTCAAGTTAACGCCCGAGTTCGTCGAAGTGATGGGCGGCAATCAATCCAAGCTCTTCGAAGAATTTAAGAGCCTCATTCTTCAAGGTTTAATCGCGGCACGGAAGCACATGGAGAAAATAGTCAATCTTGTTGAGATCATGTTGTCGGGTAAGTAATACTGATCGCGCCTATATTCGCGTTCGCGTGCACCTTCAAATCCGCACATCTCAATGGGTTTTATCGATTTTTTCCGCAGGCTCTCAACTTCCGTGCTTTCGCAGCGGCGGGGCGGCGACTGTTCAAGGTCTCAAGAATAGATTCCACCTCACGCTAACAGAGGATCAATTACGTCGGCATGTTGAGGATTTGGTCGAAGGCAGCATTCATTCGTGGTCCACTAAACTCTACGATCGATATCAATATTTCGCAAACGGCACTCTTTAATATCAAGATTAATAATTCTTTCTGTCGCGTTTTGACTGAAGCTACTTTTTTGTAAGATTGCAAAAAGGACATTAATCTTCAAGTGAACATGTTGTGGTACTTCTTCCACACAATTTTTACATAGTGGGGTCGACCAATCGCCAAGTGCACGTACCGATTAGTAAGCGTACTTTCCAGTCAGTCTGCCGCGTCGGGAGATCTGTTTTTGTACCGTAATAACGCGTGATAACAGATCAAGATAAATTAATTATACATTGCTGTTTATTTTAATTCGCGTTGCAGATTATCTCCGCAGTTATTTGATAAAAGAGTTTGCTTAAATTGTATTAGACTGCGAAAGACAGCTCCTACAAGTTTCAATGTGCAAATAAAGAATAATTTCGATTAATACAGCGGTTGCACGATGGCGCAGAAAAAGACGAGACATTCTTTTTAAGCATGTGAGCTGATTTCGATTGGGCACAGCGCTTGTTTTCTAGCATTCCACAAGCACAAATGACGCTTAGAGTGGAAAAAATTGCTTTCCTCTTGAATATATAGACAGCCTCGATGAGGCTAAACATATAGAATTCGGATAGATCACTATTCTTCGAGTTTTACATTATTCCTTACTTTCGTGGCGAGTAGGAACGATACGAAATATTTTTAGCAAAATTCAAAGCGATCTCGGCATTTAATAAATTTAAAAAATCTCGATTAGGATAATGGAATATATGTGAATATTTTAAGAGAACTTGAGAGAATTGGTTTAGCGAGAGAGAGAGAGAGAGAGAGAGAGAGAGAGAGAGAGAGAGAGAGAGAGAGAGTGAGAGTGTGATGTGAGCGCGCTTCGTTGAAAGTTAAAAATATTTATCGTCGTTTTTGAATTAGATAAAATGAAAGAAGGAATAATCTCTATGAGAATTTTGGTACCCAGTTGATTACATATATCCACTATATATATATATATACATACATATATATAATGTTTTTTGTTCGATACATTAAGACTGCTGTTGTTTACGTATGCCTCGATTGACAAATTACGAATTATAGTCATCGCAGGGCAGACATGGGCGTCGTTGACTAAACGCGTTGGACTGCTAAATCGAGTGTAATTTATATAAAGAGCGTAATTTGTTAAAGGTGCCTTATTTGTGTAGAGAAATAGTGAAGACGGATCAAATCTAGGTGGTGAAGTGGCGTGTCAATGTGGCAATCTTAGCGTGAAGTCGATCGGTCGAGAAACAGACACTTTGTAATTTGTACATATATAAAAAAAGAAAAAGAACTTTGCGTGGACTTTCGTAGATAAAAATTCGCGGCAATAAAAAAAGTAGAACCTACTTCCAGTATCGGAATCGGAATAAATTTCCACCTACGAAGATTTTATCACAATTCTGGCGTGTACGCGAGGAGAGAAGAGAGAGAGAGAGAGAGAGAGAGAGCTACGTACAAAATATAGGCTTGGATTTTAGCGGGAGGTGAATACTCAAAATATTTCCTACTTCGTAGATTAGTACTCTTCGGTAAATACATCTAATTGTACACGCGATAAAGAATTAAGGACTAAGCATTATATACTAGCGAATCTTAAGGATCACATTTGAAAGTTTTTACATGTTCTTATATTACGTAAATTACATTTATTTGCTCCCCGCTCCCCCTCCATAGCCGTGGATGCGAAGAGTATTGTAGCTTTGTGTACGGAGGATAAATATAATTTAATCGTAATTCTTCGCGTATGTCCGTTTAAAAAAAATAAATTATATAGATTATATATATATAAACTCTAAAGAGATATTGTACATAAAAAAATGACAAATTTTATCACCTTATTATACTATATTGGTTAAGAATCTAATCGAGGATGAATGTTTGAAGCAAAATCAAAGTTGCTGAAGCCGGAGTACCGGAGAGACTTGGGCTCTCTGACTTCCAAGTGTCTTATATATCTCTTTCTCTATCTTTTCTTCTTCTATCATAATCGTTTCACATGACAGATAGGCAGACCAGAAATCAGATATGATATTGTAAAAAACCGAGATCGAGAGAGAATGTGAATTTAATCCGTCGATTTTCTTCGGCGCATCGATTGTCTTTTATTTTTATTTTCAGCGAATTCGCATAAAAATTGTATAATATTATACGTGTGATTAATGTGAGAGATTTTAACGTTCTCATTGTTACTGTGTAAGAATGATTGCGGAGGAATATACATGGAAAAAGAAAATCAATTTCTCTCTTATTCCCGGTCAACTGAACACACCCGAACTTTCTGTTCTGTTGACACGTGAAACGTCAAGATCTCTGATTTGCCTTGATCTTTCACCTCATTACGAGCTATTAATAATATCAATTATTGAATAAATACGAATGCGATAAAACAAAGAGAATTTATTTAGCACCCAGTTGTCGTTTCACATAAATTTATATCGTTGCGTTTCAGTGCTCGACAAGCTATCGGCAAATAAGTAACGAGAAAACAAAGTCTAATTCTTTATTACTTTTACATTCACTCTAAACGTTTCATAGATCCGATAAACTTACGGTACGAGATAAACAATCGCCGCTACGAGATATTATTACAATATCAGTCATGAGAAAATTGCAAATAGGAGCTTGTTTACACATTTATATACGTACCCGATAGAAGGGTAACTACGAATAGAAGAAATGAAGCAATAAGTATATTGCGAATATCACAATAAGTCTTAATTTTTAATGGAGATCGTATGGAAACAGCCTTATTAAATTCTAGAGAGCTGCTGCAATAAATTAGATGGCAATATAGTTTCCAGCTTGTCGAGAATGTAATAAAATGGATGGGAGAACCAGGCAAGCATGGAACGAGCAACTACGCCCATAGTGTCCGGGTACTGATGAGTCAGCAGGGCCAACAGCGCGGTGAACGAGCACAGACCGGCGGTGAAGAGGATGAAGAAGGGCAGTTCCTTCTTCGGGTAAACGCTGACATCGTGAAACGACGGCAGGAGTTCCCGATCGGCGCACTCGGTACACGTGGGATATGGATAGAAGAGATGGCCGCGCTCGAGCGGATACGGCAACATCCTGAACGTGCCCTCCCACGTACAGTGGAGCAGATTCAAAGCGCCTTCTATCTGCTTCCAGTGTGCTAAATGGAAGAACGCGTACGCGATCGCCTCGGAGTCGCCGCGCTTCAGCACGTGCTCGGGCGGGAGAATGAGCGGCTTCATTTCCAGGAGATACTTGGGTACATGAGGATTGAATTCCACGGCCCGATGAATCGCCTCCACCGCCGACATTTCAGCGGTGGTCAGACCGCGCTTGCTGGCGATGTCGGGCGAAAACTTGTCCGCCACTAGACGCGCCTTCAGCAGAGCCGCCGTGTAGCAGATGGTCGCCGATTTCGGTAGACTGATGTCGTCGTACTTGGCCAGGACGGCTTGCACGTCCGCGTACGCCTGCATCTCGAGTAGGGTCTCGATCAAATTCTCGTGGATGTTCAATACGTTCATGATCGGCGGTACCTCCTTCGTGAGGTCGCGAAACATTTTCACCGCCTCCTTCAGCTTTCCCAGCTTTCGCGCGCACATCGCTAATCTTCTCTTGATGTAGATCAACACGTTCGTGTCTCGCCTGTGTATCGCTTCGGCTATAGAGCCCTGGTGCTGGGTATTCTGCGACTTTCTGTAATTATTCTCAGCCACTTTCAGAGCTTGCTTCAGAATCTTCTCCGCTTCCAAAATGGTAGTGGCTTCCTCTTCTGCGAGAAGAATATAAGCTGGCGCACAATCAGGATTACGATCCAGAGCACTGTGTGCAGCTTGTATTCTCACTACTGGATTGCGCTCTCTCCAAGCTGTTTGCATGATCTCGTACTCTGTTTTACCTAAAAGAGACAAATTAATTAGTTCAACTTGAATCGAGAGAGAGAGAGAAAAGAATTATATCTTGCTAGTTGACGAGACATTTCCATTTTATTAATATCAAACATTGAAATTCTTATACACTAGAAGGATTCTTACCTGTATCACCCTCGCAAGTGAAAAACGTCTGATGATCCTGAGCAGACAGATTCATATCGTAGTATGTGAGAGGCTCCTTGTTGGTGGCCCAGTAAAATCTTTGATACTCCGCCCCTCTGAACAGATTAATCGGATTGCGCCAGACCTTACACTCCGGCACATTCTGCTGATTCGAGGAACTCCCGGAGCCGTTCAGGCTCGAATTGTTGCCATCATTAGCGCTGTCCCCACCGCCGATCCACGGCGAGATATGGTTCAAGGATACCTGCTCGATGAACGAGGTGCCGTACTTCCTGAAGTACCACCATTCGAAGATGAGAATCAGGCCGGAGATGAGAGACGAGGTGCCGGTGAGCGCGACGTAGAACTTTGGGGTTAGGGTACTCAGGAACATCGTCGAGTCCCACATGCTGGTGAATAGCAGTGCCATTTATGCACACCCGAAGACCGAACGACTCTCGTCCGTTCCGGCGAGTTTGTGGCTGCTCCTGTCACCGAAGAGTAGCTCACCACATCGATGACAGGAGAACGAAGCGCTGCGCGAATTCTTCTGACAGTTCTGACAGCTGACCCGATGCCGCTCCGAGTTTCGCTTCGCTTCGCTTCGTTAAATTCCTTCCTATATTCAAGGAGAGAAAAATAGTGAAATGCACGACACCCCACTGGTTCTTCAATTCTATGCTATGTTTACGTCGCCACGCATACTCCCGGCGCGTAGCATGTAAATATTTTCGACGATGCTGGGAACATCCCGCACGAGACGAGCAAATCAGCTGCCCCCTCGATCGATGATGCAGAGAGCCAGGAGGGTAACTTTCGAGGCGATAGAAATGAAAGTTCTGCCTTATTGATTGCTATCAACCGCGTTTGCATAATATCTAATGGAAATCGACGATAGATGGTGTGCGCAGTTCGATTCTGGGGGTCAATTGTGTAATTTTTTCTAAAGTGGAAATGTGAAAAGTGAAAAATTTTCGCCAATCACGCATTGATTTTAAAGAAAATCGATGTGTGATTGGAAGAAATTTCTCACTTTTCACATTTTCACTTTAGAAAAAGTTACACAATCGACGCCCTGGTTTGCAATTAAAATTTTAAATATATTATTTATGTATATGAATAATTTTCCTACGACTGTGTCACGTAAAATCTATGCGAATAAAAAATTGAACATTTTTTTGGTGGAATAAACGAAATAATGAAACTCTCGTTTCAAATCGAATAAATTAGTATAAATACATAATAAAAATTAATAAATAAATATAAATACAAAAATATAAAAATACAAAAAAATATAATATAAATACAGTATAAATATCACATACACACGCGAAGCTAATTCGGTAAATAAAGTAATTAACGAATACTCACGAAATGAATAACTCAAGCGATTTATAAATCGCGCCACATTGTGTCAAAAGAAACTTCAAAGTTATGTTCAAAGATTCATCTGTCAAAGTACAGAATTCGATCGACCAATCAGAGATCGAGAATCTCTCTGTTCTCATTGGTCGATCGGGCGCTCCACCCTAGGTGGATAGATTTCCGAACGCAATTCGAAAGCAAAATGCTACTGCCCTCTGTTGTACTTTCGTGTTGTTCGTGAGCAACAGTCGTGAGGCTCCTCGTTCATCGCCGGTCCGTAAAAGTATACGTGTGTGAGTATTAATTAGTATCTCTGCGTCGTTAATTAGTATATCCATCTGATCGGGTCGTGTGTCCCGACATCGTAATCGCGATCGAATTGATCTCGTCGCTCGTAAATCTCGCTCGCAAAATATTCGTTCTTCCGCCCCCGAAATACCCTCTCGGATTCGCCATTTCAGTCGCCAAAGATTTCGGCCTGAAGTTCGCGGCAGTTCGCGCGCGCGAGTTAACGATAGGCCGGATCGCAAGAATTGTCGGGCGCTTTCGCCGCGAAATTTTCCGAGTTTTTTGGCGTTCTCGATCGCGTTCTGAGCGGCCGAATACGCGTTTCCGGTCATATTTCCTCATCGTCGTGTCGAAATATCGTCGCGCGACGAATTAAGCTCGCAATTCTCGTGAAAAGCCGGTCAACTTCGACACGGTCGCGTCGCCATTTTATCAATAGTTTTTCTATGGTTCGGTGCTCTCCAAATTTTCTCCCGAATCGGAGTCGGAAATATTCAGCAAAACGAGAAGCGCGTATATTCATCGGGTAATATCGAAATATCGCGAGTGCTCGGAAGATGCTTCTTGTTTTGTCTAGACGCCGGATTCTCGGAACTCGGCCGAGCCAAAACACTCGGAATTGCGTCGGCGCAGGTGCTCGGATTTTTTATCGATCCAGTATCGACGCGACTTATCGACGCTCGTTCGGAGATATTGTGCATCGATAACTCGGGGATCGCGACGACGTATTTCTTCGGTCGATAATTTCAGTGATAACCAGTGAAATGTAAAACAGTGAAGTGAAGTGAAGTGTAGTGCCGAATTCTGGAATATTTCAGAGTTCGCCGTCGTCGTTCGACGAGGCCCTGCGATAAGTGGGCCTTGAAAATAAGCGGCGACGCGAAAAACGGAGCATCGGTCGCGCGCGAAGAAGCTCCCGCGATTTTCGCGCTTTATCAAAACGTGTCGAAAATGTGACAGCTAAAACCCGGGCGTCGCCGCGCGTCGCGAACGAAAAAAAAAAAAATAACGCGAGTGTCGCGAGTGCAAGTGTTTTTTCTATATTCTATATGGATTACACCGAGGGATTACCAGAGAGGAATATAATAGTCGAAATGTGAGTCGAGATAATTATTTCGTTATTTATTGATATATTGCGAATCTGCAATCTGCGTCGAATCTGCGAATTAAAATGCGGCTGTTCTACGGGAAGGAAAGGTTATGTCGTATAGAAAAAATACATCTGAAGAAATAAGAAATATTCTCATTTAACCAAAATATTATCAGAATATTAAATATTCGAGATATATAATATTTTGAAAGCGAGTTTTAAACAATTGATTTCTGCCAAGCATTTTAAAATATGTATATATACGAATATCGTGTTATAAAACTTGGAAATTTTTAATGAATTTTTCTTGATGAAGTCTCTCGCACATGTTCAAATAATTTAAATATTAAATTTTAATAATTAATAGTATAATAGAATAATATACACTGAAAAGAAAATTTAGTAACTTGACTAAATCTTTTAACTAAATTACTATTTTGTTAATTGAAGATATATTAGTAATTAGGTCAAATATACATTTTTTCAAGATTTATATATTTAATTTAAATATTTTTATATGTTCGATTAACAAAATAATGTTTAATTGAAAGATTTAATTAAGATAACAAACTTCTTTTTTTCAGTGTAATAATCATTAGTATTATATAAGACTATAGTATAAATAATACAATATATGATATCATATAATTGATATAATATATAATAATGAATGCTAAATAATTCAAAATATATAAATATTATAAAACATTTCTATGCATCTTTATCCAAAAACAGACATACATATCTATGCTGGGTGGGTAGAAATATTGAATTTTATTCACAAAGAATACGCGTTACGTAAGAGAACGAGGAAGCAGATAACCGGAATAATAGAAGCGTATAGTGGTGGACAGATAATGGGTTACTACGGTTATCTTATATGACGCCTTGAACGTCAGCGGATCCTTCCATGCGCTCTCGAAGGTCTTTCCTTCTATCTTTCTTCCTCCGAAAGTATTGCACTTTACTTGTCCCAATAACCCACTTATCGAAGTTGCTTCGTATACAGGATGTCGCGTAATACAATTCGCGACTGTAATATCAATAACAAATTTCCTCATTTTAGAGTCAACTTTTGATTTGACAAAAATGTCAAAATACTAATAGTTATTCAATTATTGAAAAAAATAGAAAAAAACAGATAGATTTTGGGAAGCTAAAAATCTTTCTTTAGCTAATTAAATAAAATCTAATAAGATTTTAATTCAAAGTTTATAATAATAAATGAAATTTCATGATATTTTTGTGAAAAAATCATTTAATCAGAGAATCTCTCGTTAAAATTAAAGTCGCATTTGTTATGGGTCACCCTGTATAGCACCTTAACCTGTGACGTAATACGTACGTATCTCTAGCTAGGTATACGTACAAACAGAACGTCTCTAAATAGAGTATTGCTACTCGATTTCTTTCCCTCGTCGCGTCGCTAAGAAATTTCTCATGGGAGAACTCGGTAATGTCGATACTCGCAGCTGGCAATGTGCGCTCATCTTTATTACTTACGAAATTATTCTTCGACTATCGTTATCCTAAATTTATAAAACTCTTCATCCAGGTCAATGAGATGCGAGAATATAATTGATCGTGCGTTGAATTTTTCGATTTCTCGGGATTTTATTCGGATTTCTCAAGTCGAATATTTACTGCATACTTTAATCCTTAAATATATGGACGATTCATTCATCCCCCTAGGTATCGTGTGTGAAAAGCTACTTTTAAAGTATTCTACAGTAAAACTTCGCTCAGCTATGCAATAGGATGGCTCGGCTAAACCGATAAAAAGCGGATGTTCTCAGGCGAAGCGTGTGATCGTAAATAGTGATAAGTATACGAAAACGTGGGAAAATAATTTTCGAGAAAAATATCTATCAGTAAAATTGGTCGATTTAAAGCTCTACTTTAATAGCTCTACTTTAATAGGGCACACAGCTTCTTGACAACTATAGGTAGTTTAATATTTTTGAAATTATTTATTCATTTTCGGTTTTGATTGTCTATGCTAAATAAATTATTAATATATACATTTATTTCGATATATGTATACAATATGCATTCACATTCGACTGTCTCGTATCAAAATATTTTCTGTGACATTTTTAACATGATAAAAGTGTCTCCGCGTATTTAAATTTATTTCGGTATAATTTCAACCTTTTTTCCGAGCCTTCTTCAAGATATATGTTTTCAAGAGACATTTTCGCATTTTGTCGACGAAAAGATGATTTCCATAGACGATCTCGCTTGTCGCCAATATTTCCGCTGCCATTGTTACGCATCGTCAAAGGAAAGTAAAGAATGTCGACTGCGTCGCTTCGTTTATCCCTCGAGAGCGAAACGCAATACTCGGAAACAGGTGTCGGTATAAAAACAGGATAGAAAATCGCGCAATTTATTCGAGGAGCAAGGAACCTATCGGGAAAAATGTAAGCACAGCTCCGGATATATATCGAAGAGGAAAGATGAGGGAAAAAAGAAAGGGAAGATTCTTAGAGATATTTTCAATAATTTGCATGACTAAATCCAATATTACTAGAACAACGTGCAACAAAAACGCAAAACTTTTATGATCTAATACGTAAGCAGGTTATTCGAAAGGCAGATTATATCGTCTATATTTTCATTTAAACTTTCTCTTTTTCTAAGTAATGTTCAGACTGCAAATTGCGTTTATCCATGTTATATTTTATACAGGATCTATCTAAATAAATGCGAAAAATTTTAGGAGATGATTCTTTGTCAAAAATTAAGAGGGGTCTTTTATATAAATATATACATATATCAGTCCTTGAGGAGTTACTCTCGATTTTTTTCTCAAATTTCAGACAAATTAAAAAATGAAATGGAAAATATTATATATATATATATATCCACCAAGTTTCCTTTTTTAAATTTGTCTGAAATTTAAGAAAAAAACAACTCCATTTTCACCTCCCTCTTTAAAAAGTGTTCAGGAAAGGATATAAGAGTATATGTTTATATACGTATAAGAAATCCCTCGGAATTTTTTCGACAAAGAATCCTCTCTCAAAATTTGTCGTACTTATTTGGATACATCT